GCACTATAGACATTTTGGGAGGGATAAATCTTTGTGGGAGGAGGCCTGTCATGTGTTTACCAATGTCCGTGGACTCCACCCACTAGATGCCAGTAGCACCTTCTCCTCCAGAGTCCCCTGGGAGATAAAGACACCACCCCTCGCAGTTCAGGGAGGTCTAAGAAAAGGCTTACTTTTTATTTGTTCTATTATCACTTGTTTTAATCATAGTCCCTGGAAAACAGAGGCAGAAAACAAACTAAATGAATAGCAGCTGCTTTGGCCCCAAACAGCCTAAGCTGATAGGTTGCATACCTCTATAAGTTAGCTGATTGCTTACACAGCTTACTATTGGGCCTGACATATGTGTACTTACAGAGCCTAGCAAAGCCATTGGTAACCCTTTAAGGAGGGGTAACCCTTTATTACAGACAGACAGATAGGTGAGTAGATTTATTATAATACATTCAAATCAAGATAAGAAAGAATTCTCCTTACCAGGGCCACAGCAGAATTCTGGAAGTGCTAAAGTAGTGCCATAAGGGAAAAAAAATCAAACCTTAGATTCTAGATAAAAAGAAAACAGGAGATTCTAAGGTTTGCTCAAGTTTCCTTTTATATTGTAAGTTTTGTACAAGAATGTAAATTTCAGTATTTGCATTTTCTTTCTCTCCCTTTCAACAGAGATCTTTGATTTTTAATTACAAAGGAATTATCCATATTTATTTTTTCTGGATGAAATTGCCCTGATATTGCCAATACAAATCCTCTCATCAAAAGCCTCCCTCCACTACCTCTCAAACACTTTTGATCTCTATCTCAGAAAATCCAGCAGCCTAGCTGTCCTGTGTAGGAGGTTGCTAAATGAGGCTCTTAAATTATTTCTATTAAGGAAAAACTTAACATATACCAGCTGCTGGGGGATTATAAAAGCTTTGTTTTTTCAATAATTGGAAACCTTGTTTACAGAGGACTCACAATATTCTTTAAACGTCTTTGTGTTGAATATAAAAGAACTTGTGTTTATCTAGGCAATGATAATCTGACTATAAAGCAAACTCATTTAAGGATTATGTTTCCTGTCTCTCACTTTGCAGCTGTCACCCTACTGTTCTTCCCATCTTAGTAAAATGCTAAGAATGCTTCCTGAAAATTAGAAGATTAAATTGTGAAGTAAACTGGGTAACTTGGAATACATATAATTCTCAATTATGGAAAAGTAGTTGAAAGATCAAAAATATCATTACTTCTAGGCAAATTTGTTTCAAGTTCTCATTGGCAGAATTCAGTTCCTTCATTCCAAAGAGATTTTTAAGGGTTTGAACCCTGGCAAAGAAACATTAAAGACTTTCAAATAATCTATTTAACTAAAGTGTAGAATTTTGACAGCCAGGGAAATATCAATATAGATAGATGTCTACTAGAGAAGCTGGGAAGCACTATTTAAAGGTGTGTGTGCTGGGTCACTTACTAGCTCTGACCTCAGTCTCCTTATTGGGTGGCTCTCCGTAAAATTATGCCACTTACCTGATACGGTTGTTTAGAGGCTTCAGTGAGATAATCACGTGATACCTCAAGGACAGTTTCTGGCAGAGTAGCCACTCAATAAATGTTAACATCACAGTTCAAAAGAGAAATTTCAAAAGTATCCTGTTCAATCGAGGTGACTTCAATGGCATGTATTACCCACCTTGGGGACTCTTCTCAGGAGATGATGCTTACTTAGAATAAAATATTAAGTTATATTTAAAAAATGAATCACCCACCATTCTGCAGGCATACCATCTACACCAAATTCACCTGTGCCTGAAGAAGGCCCATTTCACAAGCTTGCTTGCTCAGAGGTCTCTTTCTTGGTATTTTCTGCAAAGAGAGGTGTTCCTTTCTGAACCAGTCCATTACCTAAGGTTCCAGTATTGGAGGACCCAGTGATAGGTCCAAAAATTATTATAGTTTCTCTTTTTCTTAAGAAAGGTAGGTTTCTTTCAGCTCTTGAATTTGGAACATTCAATCCCAAAAGCAGATATTACAGATCTAGTTTCTATCAATCAGATCTACAGTGACCAGGTTCACCTAGGTGATGGGTTGTCTGATTCCAGCAAACACAATTTTCAATGACAATGTGAGTAGGAGTTCTTACTGCCTTACTTTTTCTAATCAACTATCCTCTCCATTCACATTTATTGAAAAGATTCATACAATTGGAAAGTGAAATCCAGTGCTACAGCTTCTTTAACAAAACAAATCTGCATTTCATGAAGGGGGGGAGGGACAGGGGGCACCACAATTCATTGGTGGCTGACCAATTGTGGTTTAGAGACTGAGAGAGGCTTCTGAAAGGCATTTCTAGATTATAGTGTGGTGCTTACTAGTCCCTGGTAAGGTCCCTTGTCCCTAGAATCTTTAAAGCCCAGTCAACTGTTTTGCGTGGATCTGAGGATCCAATATTATCCATGTGGAAAATGTGTGGCTGTTCTATGAATTTTCTAGGGTCGTTTGACATCAATTAAGCCCTTGACTGGTTAAAAGTTTAGTGAAGTATGCAGATGGTGACTATGCTTAGACACCTATAAACATAAAGTTTAGGAAAAGGAAGAGTTTATTGTTTTGCTATTTATCCCAGCCATTATCTCTCCCTTTAACATTAATAAGGACAGCTACATTTTTCTTTAAGAGCTACAGAGACACCAAAAAGAAAGAGGTTGAAGCAGATTGCCATCCCACTGGTGGGAGCAGCCATCCAACAGCGAGTTACAGCCCTTATTTTTGATCCCACTTCTGCCCTCCTTCTGGGTGGGATTGCCAGATTTAGAAAGAAAGAAGTAAAAACAGGATGACTAGTTAAATTTGAATTTTATATGAACAATATTTTAGCATATGTTTCAAGCACTATGTGTAGCCCAGCCCTTGGCCCTATCCCATGTGCTATCTGTCCACCCAGTTCAGTGCTTGTTGTATTGTCTAGTGATTTTCATACACAACTCTGTGCATCTAATAGCTCAAACTGTCTTCTTGGCAGGATTTTATTCGATATCCCTGAAGGCATCCTAAGTATTGACTTCTCTCTTTGGAGGGCTATGTTAGATTTCCATCTGCTGCAAGTACCAACACCCTGAGCACCTTGTACCTTTCGTCTGGGCACCTGTGAGGTCACTACCCCACAGCATTGACAGGGTTGAGCACAGAGCATGGATATAGGAAGTGTGCCATGGATTTTTATGATTAACTGAACCAAAAGGAATTTGTTCTCTTCCTAATAGTCAATTCAATTAAATATTCATTAACTATTCACCCACATGCCAGGAGTTATTAGTAGCCTCTACCTACCATGCTATTTATCTGGGAAGTTAGATTAATTCCTCTTCCCTTTTAGGGAAATAAGTGGATAAAGGAGGGGAATAGCATTAGGACTCACATCCAGAATTGCAAATGTGTGTTATGGCTCAGCCAAAAAGAAATAAAATTGTGTGTGTATGTAAGGAATCATTTCAAAATATGGAATATTGTTTCTCAAAGAATGGAGATACCTTACCCATTTCATGATCTACTTCTACTGACTTCTCTAGTTCTAAATGTCTTCTATGTCATGTCGGTGCTGTAATCACCAGTCTACAGAATCATAAAAATTAAGAAATAACTTTAAAAACCAAGAGAGTGTTATCAATGGTAAAATGCTCAGCTCATTGAAAAAAGCTTACTGGCAAGTAGAATAATGATACATATCAGATAACAGGGTGGCTTTTTAAACACTTCATGCTTCTATTAATGATATTATTTAGCTCTTTCTTCATAAGTGACACTGAGCAGGCTTCAAACCTTGAAGACCAAGAGTTATGAATGCACCCTCTTGGTTCAGTGCTTTTCAAGTGTAAAATGCACAGAAGAGTGAACACATATTTAAAGGTGTCTAGATGATTAGTTTTCTGCCAGCTCAGCTTGTCCCAGGCAAGCTTGAAAATGTGGTCCTCAGGGCCCTGGCTCCCCCCACCGTGAACCCTTTCTGCTAGCCCCTACCTCTCTACTCAGATCCCCTGCAGGCTTCAGGGGGTGGAAGTGGGCCAGGAAACTACCTGGACCCTTGAAACCTACCAGGGTGACTACCTGTGAGCCTTGCTGAGAAAACCACACATCTGACCATAGAGAGAAATGACAGTAAGTGAAATAGCTTCCCAGCTCATATTTACTTAGTAAATAAACATAAACTTGCTGTCATACCCATCAGTGAAAATCCATAACTTAATGTGGCTCTGCTATATTTTCAGTGTCCCTGGAGTTAGACTGGAAGAATAAAAGCTGAACATAAGAATCATGCTAATTTCTCACCAACCCAATCACCTTGAATAGAAGAAAACAAAGTTCTCATGAAAATAGATTATCATGTGTATGTGATAAAGATCTGCTGTGAAAACCCCAAGGCTGAAGCTGTGATTGAAAAATCTTTTCTGGAATGCTAGTGATTTTTAGTCAAGTCATAAATCTTATCCTCTATGTCTTGTACCTCTGGTGTCAAGTGAATTTCAGCTCATTAGCCATTTGTTGAAAAAGTAAGAATGTTAGAATATTGGTTTTATCTGGAAAGAGACCAAATTAAATATTTTAAATACAGGTGCACTCCTAATTTTTATTATAAATACTTAATGAAACAATGAAATGAAATTAAAATAGTTATGTTTTATTCATTATAAAATATTCATTTTATCCTTCAGAATGAAGCCTTTTAATATCTACACAAATGACTTAATATTAAAATAAGCATCATTTTATTTCCTTTGAAAACTTTTATTGGGTGATTGGGTGGGGAATGAGCCTAATGATAGAGAAATAGGTGATTCTAGATCATTCCTACCCAAGATAGTGGAATGTGTTGCTTAATTCTGCAGTTTCATGAATCTCTGATTTGGTAATAGAAACTGTAATAAAATTACTACCAGGACACTAGCTCTGTTTATTTGAATAGCATTTTTATCTATCTGATTTTGAATTCAAATGCATTATTAACCTTTTTTTTCTTTTTAATATAGGTGGAAAACAGACCAAAATATTATGGAAGAGAGTATGTATTATGCTATTCTTTGTTTTAATAATGTAATAAGTAGTCATTTTGTATGTGATTTAAATATTAATATTTTAAAAAATTCTAATATGTGGTCTTCATCAAATGTCCATTGTGCAAATGTTCCATAAGAAGGATAAACGCAATCCGACTGCTTTGTATTGAATTTTATTTGTAATACTCAGGTTCTTGGCTCCCATTAATGTGGGAGGGAGAATATCTCCTGCTATAGTTCTCCCCACAAAAGCAGCCACTGAGCGCCTGGCAAGTATTTGAAACATAAGGCAGCATTTTCTATTATTTAGACTCTGTTGGTATTTTATGTCACTTTCTATCTTGATGCTGTATGAACACCTAGGATGTCAAAGATTGTAAACTATAGCTAAATCCCTTAGTTACCTGTCCCTCAGTAAATGTGACACTCAGGAAAGTCTTCCCTCTTCCCTGTTTTGGTTTCTCATAAAACCAAACTGATAATGTCTCTTGACATGAATATATTAGTCAAATTGCCTTAATACCATAATTATTATTTCCCCTATTTTCCTCTTAATTTCAACACTTGTTTAACTTTCTCAGAAACCTATGGTGAGAGAGATGTGCACTATCACTCAGTCTTCAAGCCTGTGGCAGAGAAGGCTTGAAGGCTTCAGAACAACTAGGAAGCAAGGACAGAAGTCCAAATCACTTCTCCCCTACCAGCCTGGAGGCATTATAATGCAAAGTCTCTTTCAATTTCACCTCCCCAGTTCTCCAGCTAATCCCAAATGTTCTTCCCCTACTCCCTTACCCATCAGAGCCTCATCGCCATGATTCACGACCCTCTTATTTGTGTCAGCCCAGCAACCGCTTTCTTTTTTTTTTTTAAATAGAGGCATGTTTTTATTTATTTGTTTATTTGTTTGTTTGTTTTGTTTATACATGCACTGGGTACAGTCAGAAGCGCGGGAGGGTGAGAGAATTCACCAGAGCCAGAGCAGGGAGCAGAGCAGGCAGAAGGACCGAAGTACACTGCTGAGGGGAGCAGCGGGCGGCAGGAGAGGTCTGCGCACCATGTGGGACCCTCCTCCAGTGGCCGGGGAGCAGCCGGGGATCAAACCGGCGCCACAGAGGCCGCGGGCAGCTTCGCAACCCAGCGCTCAACCGCTGCGCCGCCGGGGAGGCCCAGCAACCGCTTTCTAATAGCAAGGGTTGCATTTCTGAACCTTTCTTTCCAGCTTGGAGGGTTCAGCTTGTGCCTCTGGAGTACCTGCCTGGATGGCTGGTCGCCTCTCATTCGTCCTCATGTCTCTAACATCTAACTTAGTTGTGACCTCTTTTTATTTCTTCAAAATACTGATTTGGACTTTACTTACAGAACACACCATTCATTAAAGAAGAGAAAACAAACCTACCATATACTTCTCAAATGGAACACCTTTGTAAATAGAATTCTTAAAAATTCTATTTGTTGTCCTTTTTCTTTTTGACATAAAAATTTGTAAAATAACCTTCTCTTCTCCTCATCCTCCTAATCCCAATCCACCTAAATTACATAGAGAGAGGTGACCCAAAAAACATTTTTTTAATCCCAGAAAAGGAACATTTTACATTAAAAAGAAATTAACTTTAGGACTACAGATTCTTTGTTTCCCTTTCTTTCAGTTTTTTTTTTTTTTTTTTTTTTTTTTTAAGGTTTCTGTTCCATTCAAAAAATAGTCTATGCTCTAGTCAGGAAACATATTTTTTTCCTAGAAGGACTCACAAGAAACTTTGGAAAATGGAAAACTTTAGGAAAGAAAATCATTACTTTTGTAATGATTTTTTTTTTTAATTTTCTCGCTGCTTTTGCTGTTAAAAAGTTAACAAATCCCAAATAAATTTGAGAGAGTTAGAGAACATAGAAATATAATAGGTGGAAAATAGCCCATTTTGACCCATAGTCTCACGTTCAAAGAACACCTTGTTAACTTTTTCTCTTCATCTCTTTTCTTTGGCATTATAATATATATACATCATGGCTATTTTTCATTTCATGTGTAAAGAGGATGGTGGCCACTGACTGGGTTTTCAGATTCACAAAACTATGGTTTTCTTCTTTTAAATAATTGTTTGATTTTTGCTTTAACATTCCATCTGCTGCTAACCATCACTCACCCAGGTTAACTCAAGGGAGTCAAAACTTAGGGCATCCATGTGACTGTGTGGATGCTACTCCTCCTCCTCTGAGAGCAAGCTGGGTCAAGGGCATTAGGTCCCTGTGCCCTATTGTGTGTGCCTTGTCCTGCGTGGTCACCCCCACCCTGTCCTGCACTGTCCTGGACCACAGTCAGGTTGTATCCTTTCAACCTCTTGCAGTACCAGCTTTTGTCCTTTCTGACACCTGTGTGGGAAACTTTCCAATGCCCTCTGCCTTTCCTCACCCCCATATCTCTCCCCACCATACACACACACACACACACACACTCTCTCTCTCTCTCTCTCTCTCTCTCTCTCTCTCTCTGTCTCTGTCTCTCTCTCTCTCTCTCTCTCTCTCTCTCTCTCCCTCTCTCTTACACACACACACAGACACAGAGAGACACACTCTAATACTACTGGCCTAGTATCTGTTCTCTGTCCAAGTTATCTGTCCAGCACTGTCCAGCTCTAGCTCCAGCCATTGCTACATAGGAAGGAGGTTTCACCATGAGGTTTGCAGGATTTAGAGGCCACATTCACAGTTAAAGCCCTAAATACCTTTGTGCCGGCTCTAGGATCCCCATAAACTGATCCATCAGTTCCAAGGCCACACAGGCTATGTGGAGCTCCCTAGACCCACTGAGACTGAGCTCTGCCCAAATGTCTGTCTTTCAAGATCTGGGCGCACTGGTCTCCTTTTGGGCAGGAGGATTGTTCCTGTATCACAGCACATTCATTTTCACGTCATAAAAAGCACTGCTGCAAGCCACACATGACTCCTAAGATTTGCAAACGAATTTGAGAAGCCAGAAAACACCTTTCTCCCAAGTTGTCACTGCCTTAGACTTTAAGAGTCAGTTCCGGAATGGAAAGCCACAGCTTCTTCTGGCCTCACTCCCCTAGGACAAGCTCTTAACAAGCTCTACTAGTTAAGGATGGAAGAAATTAGGACATAAATATTATGATAGGAACTTCTTTTCCCAATATAGTATCCTGTGGGCCTCCCCGGTGGTGCAGCAGATTGAGCACAGCGCTATGAAGCTATCCACAGCCTCTGTAGTGTGGGTTCAATTCACAGCTAGCCAGGGTGATACCCACATGGCATGGTAGACCTCTCCTGTCATGCCCACTGCTCCCCTCGGCAGTGCTTTCAGTCTGTCTGCCTGTTCTGCTCCCCACTCTGTCTCTGGTGAATCCTCTCACACACCCCTCCCCCCACACCTCTGGCCTACACCCCAGTTCTTGTATGCATAAATAAATAAATCTTAAAAAAAATAGTATGCTGCTACATTTGTCCTCTAACTTAATCTTTACATTCCTGGGGGAGAAAGGGGCAATTGTTGACTTCTCTCTCTGATCTCTCTTCCCCTGGAAGGTAAAAGAGAGATTGTTTGTCCAGAGAAATTTTTCCTAAAGTTCCCCAAGGTTGGAGAAGTGGGATCTTGTTCCCACTCCTAGGGAAGAGGGGACCCAGGGGCACTAACTTCATCACCATCACCCCCGGCTACCACCTTCCTTAGAAACACAGATTGATCAGCTATCCAACAACAAGGGTGAGCATCTTTGCTTAAAGAAAACAGGGCCAATGTGCCTCTCGCTCCCGCCTGCTCTCCCACCTGGAGTCTCTGTCCATTCCCCTGGCCTCAGACTTCACTTCCAGAACAAAGAGGTCATTGGCCAAGCCTGTCATCCTCCCAGATATGCCTCACTGTCTACATGTATGTCCACTAGTTTTAAAATTTCAGGAAAAAAATTAAGTTACCTTTAGAACAGAAAAATAGGTGCATTTGCCCAACATATCCTAAGCTGTTGCTCTCAAAATTTACTGAAAGAGAAAAACGTTGATTTTAGCTGGTTATTTTTTTCCAGAGAATATACCTCTAAAATTACAACTGCTCAAACCTGCGGTAAGCAGGTTGATAATCAATAAGTGTTCATTTGCAATCAGGATAATACATAGTTCCCTGTGTTTATGCACAGAGCTAAATTGGTAATTGCTCTTTTGTTATTCCCCATGGTTATAAAAGGAGCCATAACCTGGCTTTTGTTTCGATTTTAATTTTCAGCTTCAGAGCAAAGACAATGGCAGAAAGCCAGGTGTACTGGGTGTTCTTCACTTTGGTTTGCCTACTTGAGTGCTTGCTCTGTGTTCTGGCACATGTGACTAGCGCTGTCAAGACCATCTTTAAGAGACACTGGCATTCCCTCTTCCTCCAAGCGGGGGCCTGGGGGGTGTGCAGATTCAGGGTGGACCTGCCATCTTTTTTAGCCAACTGTTTGTGGGAGTGCTCTGTGCGTGTAGTCTGTTCTGAACAGCGATGGTCTTGTCTCTCAGGTTTCACGGGATCATCTCCCGCGAACAGGCAGATGAACTTCTGGGAGGCGTGGAGGGCGCCTACATTCTGAGGGAAAGCCAGCGCCAGCCGGGGTGCTACACGCTCGCTCTGAGGTGAGTTGGCTTCACCCCTTGTTGCAATTACCTGACAAGAGGCTACTTTTCCCCCTTATTTTGGTGAAGTACACACAACATCAAATTTACCACTTTAGTCATTTTTCAGTGGCATAAAGTACATTCTGAAAGCTGTGCAGCCACCTCCACTGTCCATGTCCAGAACTTTGTCGTCATCCCAAATAGAAACTCTGAACCCATTCAATTATCCCTCCTCATCTCCCTTACTTATTACTTTTGCACCATATTAGAGCCTTATCCATTTCCTGGGCCACAGATGTTATCACAGGATGAACACTGAGGTGTTGTTTATACATATACAGTAAACTAGAGAATTAGCTGCAAAATTTATGTTCCTATAGCTACTTCTGCCTGAAACGTGAAGCCAGTTGAGGGAAAATGCCTCTTCTTCAGTTTGTCCCTGGCAGCCATTGTCAAAAGTTTTCACCACATGCTGTGTGTGCCTGGACAGACGTGCTGCATGTCCAAATGGCATTCGTGACAGGCCATATCAGTGAACCATCCGAGTATAGTTCTCATGAGTCTTTTACCACAAAATCACCAGTATTGAAAACCATGGTATACAAAAGCCGTTGCATTTACTCCGTTTTACTTTCATTGAATATTTTATGTCATTGGTCCTCTTAATAATCCTACACAGTTTTGGCAAGGTATCCAATTTCAGAATTGGTTGGTTTTCCAGAAATTTATCCAGAATTGGGAAGACCTTTATTCATAGGAGGAATGTTGCCCGTGAAACAGGCCAGCCCACAAAGTTGTGTCCTGTGCGCCATCTTGATTTTGTGTCAATGGAAATATGCTTTCCATGTTGCAACTATGCATGACTAGAATATGTCTTAAATGGTATCGTTTTGAGAAAGTACTTCAAAACCTAGCAAGTGCTCTAGGTATGCAGTTTCCTATTTTTTTAGCTCCCCAGCAGTAGGGACTGTGAGATGTGCAACCAAAGTCAAGAGGGCACAGTGCTAAGCAGGAGGACCCATAGCTTAGCTCATGGGGACACTGGCACTGGCAGCTCCAGCAGAAAGCTCCCCACAGCTTCCCTGGTTGCCCTTCAGTGACGCTGCCTGGGATGGGGGCATGATGTGCAGTGGTCAGAGGTGTAATTACACAGGACATCAGGGCCAGTGGTGTTGGCTTCCTTTGCAGGTAATTGCCAGGTATAGGGAGGGGAATGAAGGGCGTGGCTAGTTCCCATCACAGAAGTTTATAAGTCAGCTGTTTGTAAATCAGGCATTTCAAATGAGAATGAGAATGACCACATAGCCCTGGTGATTTGTAGGATCTAATGACATCACATAACTGACTGGGATTAAATCCTACCTCTGCCTCTTTCCAGGGGTGTAACCTCAGCTATACCATCTCTTCAAGTCTCAGTTTTCTCAGCCAAAAAACAGGGATAATAATTGTACCTGTCTCAGAGGGTCTCTGTGATAAGTAAATTGGGGGAAAATCATGTCAAATTCTCAGAACTGGTGCCAGGCACACAGTATGTGTTCAGAACATCTTAGCTGCTGTTATTCTTCATGGTCTTATTTCTAACTCCATGGTGATCTCGCATTCTCTCCCGGGCAGGTTTGGAAACCAGACTTTAAACTACAGGCTCTTCTACGATGGCAAACACTTTGTGGGTGAGAAGAGATTTGAGTCCATTCATGATCTGGTCACAGATGGCTTGATAACACTGTACATAGAAACAAAAGCTTCTGAATACATTTCCAAAATGACAACAAACCCCATTTATGAACACATCGGATATGCCACTTTACTCAGAGAAAAGGTGTCTAGGAGGCTGAGCAGGTCTAAGAACGAATCGAGGAAAACCAGTGTCACCAACGAAGAACACCCCACTGTTGAAAAGGTAGGCTACGTGGGTGAAGCATGCCAGCCAGCTCTCTGTTTTTTAATGTGTGCTGAATAGCCAGGGATCGATAATGTATTCGATTTGCCAAAATGTTGGAGGGGACCCATCTCAACCCAAAGAAGTCTAGAATTTTAGTGCTAAAGGGGTTCTAGAAACCATCCAGTTCAACCCCCGTATTTTACAGAGGAGGAAACTGAGGTCCAGAAATGTTAAATGATTTGCCCAAAATCACAGTCAGAACTTCCCCCAAATAATTGTTGTGAGTTTATTTGGAGTTTGGATGAAAAAAAAAAAAAACCTTCATTAACTTTTCATGATGAATACAGTAGCTTGTTTTTACTTGTCATTACTGGATCCATTTCTCTTTCCACCCAGCTAGCCAAGTACATGGTATTTATATTTGCTTCTCTTGAGTCTGGGTCACCTCATGATCTGCATATCTGCGGTCTCATGCAGGTGGCCTTACCTAGATAACAGATTTTACTGACAGATAGGAAGGCATTAGCAGTGATGGTGGTTCTCTAGGAGGCTTAGAAAGTCTTTCCATCATCCTTTTCCCCTAAAGAAGAGTTATTATGCCTCTCCAAGGATTAGATGCGCGTCAGCGGTAAGTTCCAGCTGAAAGGGTCATGGCGGGATGTGGTGAGGAAGATCTGATTTTCCTCTCCAGTAAGTTGCTGTTTATTTGAAAGACACCACCACAGTTTGCTAGCATATTTTTTGGATGTGCCCCTTTAGGAGCCATCTGCTTTGCCTGGTTCTCTCCGTTTTCCACTGAAAGAAAGTGACAGCCAGGCTCCCCACTCAGCCCCCATTGAGTGTGCTGTGCCCAGCTCCCAAGGCAAGCTTGGACTGGGCAGATCTAAGTAAGTGGGGCAGAACAGCAAGCGCGCTCCTTCTGGTGGTTGCTAATCCTTAATTAAACCGGAAGGGCACTCCTTCCGTCCCTCTGTGGTCCAGTGTTCACTGAAAACAAAGGAACCTCAGATTGACTGACTGCTTCAGTTTGCTGATGGGTTGGGAACAGAAATCACAGAAATGGGGAGGAGGGCAGAGGGTGGAGGTGTGGTCCTGTTGGCACAGGGGATGCTCTTAATTGATTTGCTAATTGAGCTTTAGCGTTTCAGAGAAACTTCCCCAGAATCACATCAGCTGAGCAGCTGGCCCATGAAAAAATAATTTGCCCTTTTCTTTTTATAACTCGTGTCTCCAGAGCACCTGTTTATTCTTTTACAAATAATTGATTTGGGAAATGGTGGGGTTTCCGAATGTTTACATTTTAACAAAAGAAAGAGAAGGACTTGAAGCCCAACTTTCAGAGTTTGTTCCTGTCCAGGCAAAAGTCATTCCTTAGTCTGTTTGCAAAATCTGTTTAAAAGTAATTTAGAATAGAAAATCCAGGAGGTGACCTTTCTGGCTGTGACAAACCAGAAGACGAATTGTAAAGCAAATCTCTACAGCACTGTTTATATTTCTGAATAAGAGAGCAATGTCACCAAAAAAGCAATCTGTTACAACTGCAGGCTACACACTAGAAATTTCCAGAACAGAGGTGAGTAGGAAGAGTAATCTCTTGTGTGCCTGGGATGAGGGTTAAGATCTTAGGTACTGGAACTGATACTTTTAGATCCTTGCTCTCCCCGGAGAGGAAAGTTTGGTCAATGGTAACGGGCAGCTCTAGGTGATTTCTTGTCAGGAGACTTGCATGGCCAACTATGTCCTTCACTGTAGATCATTTTGCATTTATTTATTGAAATTAAATTTTAGAGGAAGTCAGTAATGAGATTAGCAATCACTTTGAATGAGCCAGTTAGCACACACCTACCTTTATAGGAAAAGGTAAATAAAGAAGATGTTGAAGGAAGAAGTCCAAACTCAGCGCAGGACTTGACAGACAGGTGTTGCTGGCACAGAATTTCTGGGACACTAATGATGTGACATTTGGCTTCCCCGGGGGGACATTCTGAACACCGGGTCTGCTCTCTTGCTGGGGGTCACTCATTTTTGTTAGTGGGTTTATTAAGTAACTTTGTACAAATCCATCCATTTCTCTGACCTGTATTGACAAGTGGAATGATTAAAAGTCTCAGTCTTGCCAGAAATTCCATTTCCCTTAAGGGTAGGTCAGTGGACCGTTGCCATGGAGGCAGGACTAGAAAAGAGGTGGCAGAAACTTGAATGGATTGACTGAGAAGTGCTAGGGGCACCTGTCTGCTTCAGTAATGGCGTGTCTTAAAGGTTTTAATGAGTGGAATAGGAAGGTTTGCTAATATGTCTCAAATTCAGACAGCCCAGCATTTCATTTTCCAGAGTGCTTAAACTTTGTTCGCCCATTTGTTTTATTGATCATGTCCAAATGAATCCTAAGAGACTATGTTACCTATATTCCAAGAATATTAACAGTGTTAATTGGCAAAAGAATATTACCTTCCCCATCAAATCTGAGTAGTTACCAGATTTATCTCCTGTCAAGGTTGTTAGCAGTGAACTTGATCTTAATAACTATAGATGAAACAGGGAAATAATGGGGGGGGGCAAAATAGTGGTGATAACCAAGAGCGATCAGTTTCTTTCTGACTTTTTATTTAGTTGGGTCTAAAAAGATTTTGATGTGTAAGGGCCACCACTTGGTGCATTGAATTAAAAAAGCCATGCCCAATGTAATTTCTTTTAGAATTTATTCCACAGGTGTGTTATTTACTGAACCTCAGTAGTGGCTCTGTAAGCAATGTAAGAGTAACAGTGGGATTGAATGTGGGTTCAGACATGATGGTTCATAAACAGTGTTCACATATGAGAAATAATTTCCCCCTTTATCCTCAGACCAATTTTGCCAGGTATGTAGCCCAGGAATTATTATCCCCATTTCATTGAAAAAGCCACAGCGGCAGGGTGCCAATTCAAACCCAGGCTTCCTAACTCCCAGTTCAGGGCTTCTTCAATCCGTTGCAGCAGCTGGGCCTCCTTCCTGTCTTATTGTCCTTATTTGCTTTAAGCAAATCCCCTTGGTTCTAACTAAGTCAGTTGTCAGCTAAGAATCACTCAATATCTACATGATCCTTTTTTTTCGTAAAAATACACTGCTATTACTCACTGCAATAACTAAGCTTCCTTAGAAAGGAAACCCCACTGAATCAGATATATGTGACAAAAACACTTTCAGTAGCACATGTTCTTAAGTAAATTTAGCTTGCTGAATTAAATTGCATTTACATTTTACTGGAGAAAAATCGTCTGTACCCTTGGTATAATAAGAGCACATTTAAGAATAAATTATATCTTACCAGTTTATTCATTTCATTATTTTCTGTAATAGCAAAAGTTCAGATAGAACTGGAAAGAACCATCATGCCCATCCCTGGCTACTGTTTTAGCTGAGCTGCGGTCCGTCCCTACGAAGGGGTAACATGTTGCAGGTTTTCTCTTGTGTGATCTGGGAAAAGAAAAGGTTTTACATATGATTTTCTTACAAAACCATTAAATATCTTTAAGGAAACAAGAGCTAGTGTCACTGGTTACCTGTGGGGAGGGTAGAGGGGCGTTAGGGAAGTAAGAACAGGAAGGAGACCTTGTCTCTGCTACTGTTTCATACTCTGAATTCTGAACTGCGATAAATACAGACTCCAATTAAGAAAATTAAAGAAGGAAAAGGAATGCATTATGTTTTAAATTCAAATATGTTAAAGCAAGTCCTCAGTGAAACATCTTCTGTGCTCAGTGTATGTGTGTGTGCGTGTGCGTGTGCGTGTGCGTGTGCATGTACGTGTGTGTGTGGTGGGGGGAAGTGGGGCGGGGGGAGGGATTGAGAACCAGCACAGTTCCAACTTTTTTGGGTCCAAACGGTTTCTTCTCATCCCTTCTCTCTGCCCCCTTCCCCATCCTGCTCCCTCTTTCTTTCCTTTTCCCTGGAATCAAACAAGAATCCGAGTTTAGCAGCCTCTTTCTAAAGGTTCGTGGTAAAAGAGAAGTTGAATCACTAAATACAAAAATGGAACATGGAACATAAAAATGGGCTGTGGTCTGTGGTCACTCCCTCCCTGGCATTGCCCCACTCCCCCAAACCCCTCAGCCTTGCACCCCTGGAACCCTTCCTAACCCCCTTCCGTTTGCCACGCACCCCCACTCCACCACACCCTTCTCTCTCAAGCTGCCAAATTCCTCTTGCTTTCGTGTGGCAGCAATGAAGCATCTTTGCCTCTGTAAAGCCAGGAGAGGAACCCGGATGAAAGGGCTTTGGGGCTCATGGGGGGATGGTTTACAAATGGCTAAAAAGGAGTAATGTTCTCACCTTCCCCACCTCCGACCTGCCATTTTTTTTAAATCATTGTTTCCTTTACATCCAGAGTTATCCTTGCTTGTTTATTTCTCTGTTTCTATCATATGAACCAGCTGGCTGCCAGAAGCCTTGGCTGGTAGCGATATGGCCCTTTCCTGCATTATCCTGGAACACGAGGAAGTGGTCATGCCAAGGAAGGGCTCTCCAGACCTTTCTGCCCTAGCAGAAGTCTCAGTTGTCTCAGTGGGTTAAACTCAGTCTGAGTGGTTCCCCCCCACCCCCAGTCCTGAGATGACACCCAGGGGCTGGGGGCCCTTGGTGGCTTTTCCCTTATTAGAGTGTTGCTCTTAGAAGTGTTCTCAGTGGCCTTGAATTCAGTTCACATTCCTCAGCAGGACACCTGCGGCCCTTCTGAGCCGGGTTCTCCTGGAAGGGGAGCCTGGCACTTGGCACGTGATAACTTGGTGCCATGGCTTGGCACATGGTAATCTGGGTAGGCATCCAGGGAGCAGGAAGGCAAGGTCGGGAGAGTAAAATAGACATGGTCAGAGGCCAGTAGAAATGCCTATTGTTGGTTTGGGCATGTCGCAAGGATCAGCATGTAGAACTAGTCCTAAGAGGAGGGGAAGGGGACAGGAGGTGCTGATCCACTACCTCTTGATATCTATTGGCTGCGCGGTGCTTGGGAGCCAGACCCTCCCTCGTCAGGCTGTGCACACGGAGCACCTTGTGCTGTCCCTCGGCATCCCGGGCTGTCGTGTCAGCCAAGCCCGGGCAGAAAGTGAGGGATGCAGGGTGGGGAGTGGGGGTTCCCAGCCCGTTTCTCGCCTGTGGTCCTCAGATGATCTCATGCCTCCCCTACCTCCACTCCACCCCTCGGAAACGCCTGCCCACTCCTGTGATCTGGTTCCAGTTCACCCTTTCAGGCCCAGCACAGCCTCTTTAAGAAATCCACTCTCTCCCATCCTTCCTTGACCACTCCAAAGGAATAATACTCCCGTGTTTGTGAACATCTTTATGATTTAACCTTCCTGGTTTGATCAGTAGTTGTCAAAGTGTGGAACTGGGGGACCAGCAGATTGGTGGCACCTGGAGGGTAAAGAAGCAGGCAACTTCTCAGTCCCACCCCAGCATCATGTGGCTCCTGTCAGCCTAAGTGACAAGGCTGTGGGTGGCCCCAGTGCCTCTGTCCTCTAAAGCTCAGCCCATGAGGCACTCGGCAGAGTAAACCCTGTGCACTGAACAACAGGTGGATGACTTAATAGTGAACAGATTGTCTCAGATTCACCCTCAAGAACAGGGCCTCTCAAATACCCCAAGTTGGTGTGTTGCTGTCTCCCGACACTTCTCTCTGTGGGCTCCTTCTTCCCTGTGCTAAGATGCGACCCCCTGCAGCACAGGCACCATGAGAACCTGGAGACTAAGGAGGAAGCTTCGGACACCACGTTGTGCAGCCCCTTTGTGATGCAACAGGACACTGAGGCACCTAGTTCGTGAGTCTGAGACATCAGAGGTCAGGGAGGCCTGGACAGAAAAAACGTTTTCAAGTAAGTAAAGATCTTTGAGGACTACAAGCTGTTCACTCCCCTGTGAGTGACTGAAAAGTAAAAAATGAATTGAAATAGCAGTTAGTCTAGAAGGCAGCCCAGCAGTTGGAGCCCAGCAGGAAGTGGAAGACTGGTTGGCTGGGACGCTGAAGAGACTTTGATTAACTGGGGATCCTTCCCAGGAGCTGGCGCGGGCGGAAGCCATTACCTCTCCAGTGCTGAAGGGAAGAGTGGAAGGCACCAGAGTGACTGGAGTCTAATAAGTGTGATGGGGGCTCCCAAAGAGGGACCTTCAACAGGAGGGGGACCTCTAACAGTAGGGGGACCCACCCCCATAGGACAAGGGGTCCCAAAGGACTGGGGCTCAAACAGAAGGGGAGTGAATCAGCAAGCAAACATACAGTCACTAAACTCCTGCACCATCCAGAGGGCTGGGCAGGAACAGAAATACCTCCATTCTGCTCTCCTCCCACCTTTGATTGCCTGCTTATACCTCCCCTTGGACAAACCCAGCCAGGAAGCAGAGTTCAAAAAGCCAAGGGTGCAGTCCAGAGAGCAAGGCTCCCACCGTGCGTGAAAACAGCACAGAAGGAATTTGGGAGGCGAGTGCGTAGAGAATAACCCATGTAGAGTATGAATGGAACAAAACGTTGCAGAGCAATTCACTGCTCTGTGTGTTCGAATTGTTCTAATTACTCTATAAAGTGCACCAGGCTCAGAAGCCGTGATGGGCAATAATGCCTGACAATGACAACCCTTCTCCTGGATGAACTCCAGATGGCTCCATTGCAGGAAGGCTCTCAGTCCTGGAGGGCGGGGAGGTTTAGCGACTTCACTAAGGACAGTCACTCCAAACACGGTGTCACCCATGGCCCTTCACCAAGCAGGGCTCTGCATTCATTTGCCAAAAAAGAACCTGAATTGTTCATGTAGCAAAGCACAGAGAAGTTGAAGGAGATCCACTCATATTACGGGGTCTAGAAAACCTATAGATTTGCTCTGCAGGGACTCCCTTGGAAATCATATGTAACTGATAGAACCATTCTTTTCTCAGGAGTCAAGGCTAAATGAAGATGAGCATAGCTTCACTAGTAAAAGTGACAGGTTCGGTAACAATTCTGATCATCCATCTTCCTGCTCGCACTCACAGTCATAAAATGGAATGGGATGTGGTGCTGTTAAGAGTGGATTTGAACTGAGATTAAATTTGTTCAGAAACCAGGGTTTACCACCTGTTGCTTTACATCAGAATCCCTTAAAAGTATGGGATTTATCACACAGTTTGGAGAAGAGTTGATTTGGTTGGGTCTGTAGTGCTCAAACTGGCTGAGGTTAGAAAGACCCTGGGAGCTTTAAAAATATATGCATGTTCCGCCCCTCTTGATTTATAGGCATCTCTCTTTTCAAAGTTCCCCACATGATTCTAAAGTGCTCCATCTGATTAGAGGAAAATTCAGACAGGGAAGTAAAGGTTATCAGATACGGTGGAAGTAATTTTCTTTTGAAAATTTTTGTTCTACCTCTTCTTATGCCTCATGGTTCTGAGAGTCTTTATGTCCTAATTCTCTGCCTCTGCTTCCATTTAGTGAGTCCTCCTGAAAACCTTTTTGAGATAATAAAACTTTGAGGGCTTTGTTTATTGGTTCAGAGATTTGCTTTGTTCCTTTTTTCCTTGGCTCCTTTTTCCAGATTATTGGCTGAAATTTAAATGATAAGGGAAAAATTAACTGAAGCAGGATTGAGAGAATTTAATGATGAGTCAAAGAAAATTAGTGCCTCTTCATTAGGGCCCAGTTGGTGGTTTCTTTTTTTAGTTTTTTCTTTTTTTAAAGATTTATTTATTCTTGTACAAGAACCGGGGTACAGTCCAGATGCATGGGAGGGTGAGAGGATTCACCAGAGACAGAGTGGGGTACAGAACAGGCAGACTGATGAAATATACTGCTGAGGGGAGCAGCAGGCGGGGCAGGAGAGGCCTACTTCGCCATGTGGGATTCTCGCCGGCTGGCCGAGATCAAACCCACGCCGCAGAGGCTGCAAACAGTTTCACAGTGTGGTGCTCAACCGCCTGCACCACCAGGGAGGCCCCAGTTGGTGGTTTCTTAATAGCAAAGGTTGCTGCACTGTGATTCTCAACCTTGACTGAAATACCAGTGGATACCTGTATCAACCACCTCCCCCTCACACACTCACACACACACACATTCACACAAAAATCAGATTGAACTACTTGGGATAAAATCTGGGCATCTGGATTTTAGATGTTCCAGGTGAACTGGTATGCTAGAGACCCCTTATTTAGAGGAATAACTGAAAATGAGTTAGGTTCCATCCGTTGGATTTATCGTTTTATCAGAAAATATCTTTTTACTAATCCTCAGTATCATTGGTGTTAGGGTTAGAGCTGTACAAGAATGAAAAGCAAGGTTATGCTAGTACATTCAGTAATATGAGTCAAACCTTCCTTATTCATCCGCAATTGCGCTAGAAAACAAGTTTTGAGATGCAGCCCTTGCTGATTTTCTATTATGTGGTGCCATCTAGTGGCTAGAAGGAGAGTTACATACTGCAACCACCTCAAATGACCAAACCTAACAGATGTGGGTGTAATGAGCAAGAACAAATTTTCAGCAGTGAATTGATTGAATTGTTCCCATTTCCTCAGGTTTTATAGCACAGATCAGGCTATGCAATGGTTAGGGGGTTAGGGTGTTTTGTAGTTTGTGCTCATTCTTTACAAAAGCAGACGCATAGCTCTGCCAGCCTCAAACACTTGGATGTAAAAATGGTCCCAAATGGTGTGACTCACGGAGATTCTGGTCCAGAGGCGCTCAAGTGTTTTGACTCCAGGACCCTCACATACTCTTTAAATGACTGAGAGCCTCAAAGAGCTTTTGTTTATGTAGGTTCCATTTACTCTTATTGACTGTACTAGAAAGTAAAACAGAAAAGTTACAAATATTTATTCTTTTAAACATAAACAGTAATAAATCCATTATATGTTCATGTAAATGATATATTTTCATTAAAAAGGCCCCCATTTTACAAAATGGAAAAAGTGAGAAAATTGCGTTGTTTTACATTTTTATAAATCTCTTTAGTATATCGTTTAATAGACAACAGCTGGATTCTCACAACTGCTTCTCTATTCAATCTATGATGTTTTTTTTCTATTTTTCTTTTCTTTTTTTTTTGAAGTATAGGCAGAAGCTCTGGCCTCACAGAGATATGCCTCCAGAAAAAGGAAAAATACTTAGTAGCCTTTTTAGGTAAATGTAGATGTTGTTTTATACATAGATAGATAGATAGATAGATAGATAGATAGATAGATAGATAGATAGATTTATAGTGGATCAAAACTAAACAAATGGTAGTTTCTTAAAGGTTAGTTGCAATGTTATTCAGTGGCAAAGGCAATTAATACAATTAGCTTTAACTTCATGGGCTTGCTGAGATGTACCTGGAGACCTCCAAACATTGAGAACTACTGCTGTAGGCACACCTTTTGAGACATTTTTATCTGTATGTGCCAGGAAGATTTATGCCACTTCTACCATCTCTGACTCTGGGAGGTAAACAAGTGGTTCACCTAGGACTAGCTGTTTACCTGCCCCGTGTTTCCCTTCATAACCCCAGGGCCCTTCCTAAGCCTCTCAGTGAGGGTGGACAACAGAGAGGATTCTACATTATCTTTTTTTTGTTTGTTTGTTTTTGTGGGAACCTCGCTGGCGGCCCGGGAACAAACTGGCGCTGCAGAGGCTGCGGGCAGCCTCGAAGCCCAGCACTCAACCGCTGCGCCACCAGGGGAGGCCCGGATTCTACATTATCTGAAAGTGAACTTCCAGATAACTTGATGTAGGCTCCCAATAATGAGCCATCCATGTGGTCTTCCCCTCTTCCCTGTGCCGATGAGAAGCTAAAGCCCAAAGTTCAAGATAACAACCAACAATGGGGGTACTAAACACGACTTTAAGGAATCCCATTCTGTCTTTGGCCTGGCATGGGGTGGGGGGGGGGTCACCCTTTTTTCATGCTTCTGGTGCTTCTCCTTGCACCACCTTTGCGTGAATCTACTTATCAGTCTCCCCACCTCCACCTCCATCATGAGTAGCTGTCATTCTTGCCACCTAGAACCTGGGCAGCCTCTGCTGGAAATAGCACCCAGAGCCTTGCTCTCTGTTTATGGACATCTAGTGGAACCAGACCCATCCCCCTATCCCAGAGGTAGATTTGGGATTCAAGGCCCATGCCAAGGCCCCCCACCCCACCCCCACCCCACCCCCACCCCCAGGCTTCAACGCTGCGCATGCAGTCGATGAAACCAATAGAATTTCATTATTGGTGAAACTTCTTATACTGCAAAGAAGGTCTCTTGCCCTTTTCATGCTGGGTTGGGTTCAAGACAAAGTAAAGTGTGGGTTGAGCAACCTCCCACTACCACAGAGAACTGGAGAAAGTGGAGCCTGGCAATGTAGAGAAAACCCTGTCCCCTGCCCCCACTGGTCTCTGCTGCCTGCTGAGTACTGTTTTGCTTTAGAGTTGGACCCTGGGGGGTATTTGAGTTTAGTTTGTCATTGTCTTTGTTACCAGGAACACCCCAACTGGCTCCACTCTCCTCAGCCTGCCCCCACCCTCTTATCCTGCACTCTCTGACCCCTTGTCACCATTTTTGAGAAAGCACGGGCAATCAAATTTAGGTTCCTTTTAATTTTAATTAAATAATACATACTATCCTTCTTTAAAATAGTAGTGTTAAGTCAAAACAGGGACAACAAGAGTTTTCTGAAATGAGTAGGAATGTAGTACCTGGAACACAGGTACATATGGGAAATAACCTCCCCAAACCACATCTGGAGCACATCTCTCCATCTCTTGCCCCTGGCACGAAAAAGTATA